AAAAATGCATGCAGATGCTTCTCCTCCACTTAATGAATAAACACTTAATAAAACACCACTTAATATTTAAATGTCTTGTTGTGCATTATTGAAACCATAATGAGTCAGTGAGGCACTTCTCATTGATTATTTGTGTTGATTTAAACATGGAGATACCTCTTTAATGGTTCTATTTATGTACCTGACATCGGCTCAGTGCTGCAGCACGGCTGAGGGAAGTATTCTGTTTCTTTACTAAAGTAAAAAGTGTGACTGTAAAAACACTGCATCAGAAAACTCATGGCTCAATGCTCAAGCTGAATTATCTTGAGGTGGAGCCACTTTTTTTTATTTGGGCTGGAAGCGTAGATTTATTTACGTCATGGACGATTCTGCCTGACCTTTTCTTCATCTATCTATTTATTACCTAAGGGACCGTGTACAGTGAGGGGGTTGTTATTGCGGTAAGGACCCTCAACAGGGTGTGTAGGACTCTGAGGTGAAGCGTGGGAGTCTTGTCTCACCCTGAAGGGGTTCCTCGGCGGTGACAACCCACTCTCATATATACATTATCCCGCTTATTAATGAGGCAGTTTTTCACAGCCACTCTGACTTAGTGCTCATGGTGGATTAATGCTGGTCTTTGTAAATAGTAATAATAATTATCAAATAACAAAGAGTACTCTTTTTGTAAAGTGTCTCTACAAATAAAGATTGGTTGATGATTAATTGACATGGTTACTAAGTTGGGTCCCGCATTCTTTTTCGAGCGTCAGCATCTTTTGTCAATTCTTTTAAATGAGTAGAGAGCGTTGGCAGCAGCAGGGGGCCGCCCAGCCAAGCCAAGCTCAGAGCCTTTATTTTTAAGCACTTTGTCTTTTTTTGCTCTCAGCGCTCAAATTTAAAATCTTTTAACTTTTCAGAAAGGCGCTGTTGATGTCACCGGCGCTCTTTTTTCAAAATGTAAGATGTCTGTCTGGTACTTTGTTTGTATCCATGGTTACCACTGAGAAACTACTTAGATTTAGTTATACTTCATGTGTTTAGACACATTGTGTCCCAGCGGATGTATGATTTTTTTTAATGCCCAAAATACACCATAAAATAACCTTTAGGAGGCGGTTAAATGTGGTAAACAGAAACGTGATGTGTTTACAGCACGCCCTCGACTCGCCCTCTTGGAAAAACTGAATGGGCTCTTTAAATCTGTGCTAATGAATTTAGTACAAAAAACACAGAGTGAAGGTTATATCCTCCAGTTTTCTCCATCAGTTCTCCTCCATCTAATGGCCAACTTAGACTACTTGAAGAAGATATAATTCACCACTCTTCTTTTTACTACTTTGGAATTCATTTCTGGCTGTTTTACAACATAGCTGCGTCCTCTGTCAATTATTTTGTACTTATTAATGTTCCCTCTCTTTAACAAGCGTCGAGTCTGGCAGATTAAAGGACCCAAAGTCAACTCAGACACGAGGGATACTGTCGACAAGAGGCTCCTAGTTTAGTGTTTTTTTTAAATGCTTTAATCCGAGGTGTCACTTTGATATACAGCTCCACTAAAAGTCAAGGAGGGTGGGACAAACTGATCAGTTCAGAAGGACATCTTAAGACTCCTGTTATCGTTTCCCCATCAGAGAGAGAGCGAGAGAGAGAGAGAGAGAGAGAGAGAGAGGAGGTGTCTTTCTGTCTGCCTGCTGAGTGGATGCTGTGTTGGCAGCAGACCCGATGAGTGTCCTCCCACTCCTCTTCTGCTGAGTAATAATTGAGAAAATAACCGTAGATTGGTTGAAGTGTTTGAGCCGAGTCAGAGAACAGAGCTGGAAAATGAGGAGATGATGCACACGCGTTTCTTTTTTTGACTCTTTGCCACAAAGTTGTTGCAGGTTTTCATCTGTTTCACAAACTTTGTCCTCTTAACAGTTATTAAGGAGTATCCTGATTTGTGATCCTGATCAGGTGTGGGGCGCTGGTGGTGCAGTGGTTGGTGCGAGCGCCCCACGTTTGGAGGCCAGGTCCTCCAAGCAGGCGGCCCGGGTTTGAATCCAACCTGTGGCTCCTTTCCCGCATGTCATTCCCCACTCTCTCTCTCTCTCTCCCTGATTTCCAACTCTATCCACTGTCCTATCTCTCCATTAAAGGCACAAAAAGACCCAAAAATAAATCTTTAAAACAGGTGTTTAAAATAAGAATAAAACGCACAGGCAAATAACTAAATTGCGCACGCGTTTTAATGCAGGCAAGGTAATTATTGTTTCATGAAGTAAAATCAGAAATATTGGGGCGGACAGATGTGCAGAAACTGGAATGGCTGTTTAAGTTTGATGTTAATTTTGTTTCAAAAGCTTGGAAAAGAAGACAGGATATTCTGTTTATTTAGTGTGACTTCTTGCTTTCTCTTTTTGTTTCTTGAGAATGAATATAGCTTACCTAGTGCGCTCTGATCCGGGAGCGTTTTTTTAATTTATGGTGTCATGTATATGGATGTATGTATGTCACAATAATAATAAAAAAAACAAACTAAAACGTGTGAAATGGAAAGCTTGCATGCGTTAAAAAACCCAAATAACATGTCACCGCCCTATAGGCCATATTCAAGAGGTTTAGTGAAAAGAATGATCTCACTGAGGATGCAGAGGTCTCAAAATGTGTGAAATGAATCTGATTCATTTGGCTTTATAGGAACTAGTTCTGCAATGATGGATGTTAAGATGTAATCAGGGACTTCAGGTTTCACAGCTAGAAGTGAACCGGGTTGGTGCTCAGCTGGGGACAATATAGGAACAAATTATATTTATTAGACGCTCCAATTGGATTGCTGTTCTCATCTTCTTCCACTGAGCTGTGTTCTCTCATTCTGGACTCTTCATTATGTCGCCTGGTTAAAAACTGAGCTGTGTTCAAACACTTAAACTTCACTTGTAAGCGAGTGCTGTTGACCTGACTTTGATAACCGTGCGGTGCTGCTGCTCGTGGTACATTCCTCCTGACTGTCTGATGTGATCACGACTCGGCCTCCTGTTCGTGAGCGTGTTAGCACTGATCTGCATGTGTCAGCTCTGCTGCCCATCACACCGCCTGAAGGGAAGCCTGCAAGGGGGGCAGGTTAGACTGTATCTGGATCAGGTGTTCCCAAACTGTGCCATGCCAAGGACCTCATCCCCCCCCCCCCCACACACACACACACACACACACACACACACACACACACACATTACGACAGCTTTAATCACAAGTTTAGTTTTGTAGATTGTAGAACTTCCAAACTCCATGTGATCTGCAGAGTCCCTCTGCACCTTTAAGAAAAAGCTAAAGACCCAGCTCTTTCATGAATACCTACTAACTTAATGATGATGGTCTCCATATTATTGATGATGATGATGGTAATGACGATGGTTTTTGTTGGATAACGATGACTTATAAGATGGTTTCTATACTGATTAGAGCTCTCAAGAACTGCCCTCAATGTTGTGCTTTGCCTCTGGTCACTTCCTGTCAGCACCTGTGTGTCCAATCAGACTCAAAGCTGATCGTTTGCTCTTACTGACATTGTTCCCTTTTTTCTAGATCCTTGCTTGTGTTGTACTTACTCTCTGATGTACGTCGCTTTGGATAAAAGCGTCTGCTAAGTGAATTGTAGAATTGTAGATTCCTCTGTCATTGCGTACAGTTTTAATATATTTTATCACTTCTCCTCTCCTTCCTCTTCCTCTCACAGCACACAGACCAATCTTTAATTATCTGGACTTCTTTCTGCATGTTGATATGATCACAATGAGCAAGGCCTCTAGAGTCTTATATCTGCATCCCTTGCAACTGTCTGCTTTTCATAATAACGATGTGTTCTCCTTAATGACAGTGATCTATTGAGGGGATAGTGGACCGTTGCTCTGCGTCCTCGGCCAGCTGTGTGCTATAATGAGATATCTGCATGCAGGTGCAGCTAACGGCCCGCTCCAAGGCGGATTAGACATATTCTTCACTAGTCGTTCACTTTGAGGACACTTGACATTAATCACTGACATTTTACATTTACATACTCTGAATGCACATTCATTGTAAAGTGAAGATGGCGTGCTGCAGCAGATGACATGTGAGGGTGGCGTCTGTCAGTCAAGTCAACACAAGTATTCATAGAAATGCTCACCGTGCAGAGAGAGAGAGAGAGAGAGAGAGAGAGAGAGAGAGAGAGAGAGAGAGCGAGAGAGATTGGTGTCTCAGCCCGCAGAGCCCTGTTATTAGCCCAGTCGTTTTCCATACAAACCAGAGTTACAGTGTTTACTGCTGCTCTTTATATCCATTATAGTTTACGGTTTAATTATGGAGCGGTCTAGACTGTATACGTGCAGATTGTAGTGCTGAGCGTGAGACCTGTGATTACGAAAGCTGTTCTTACACAGATCATTTAATTAGAATTACATCACTATAGGAAAATAGCCTGGCTTTATTTCCTGTCAGCGGCTGATGTAAGAACCCACAGCTGCAGGAAATAACCTTTCCACACATGTCTCAAAGAGATTCATTTGCTTTAAAATAACCCCACTTATTTAGAGCCTTTTAAAAGAAAGCAAATGATCCCCCTTCAGACCGTGACAACACTGTAAAAATCAATCATGGGGGATTGACATTGATTGATCAGTCAACATGTCACTGTTTGTGGTAAAAGTTAACCCGACAGAACACACTGCATGAGTTAGGTCTGCTGCTATATGAGACAGTTTGTCACTAATGCATACAGTCCATGTCAGCAACAATTTAATTTCTGTGTTAGATTGAAGAGAATGTCACGAGGATTTACTTTACTGTTTTTAATAAACTGCAAACACTGTTTGCATATTATTTGGGAATATGATTTAGAAATGTACTTTCATAGTTGCAATATTATCATACATGTACATGCTAATGTTAGAACTGCCAAGCCAAAATAATGACTGTCTGGACAACAGCATTTTTCACAAGCGAGTGCAAAACGTGCAAAATAGTTTTCGTATACTCAGAAGGCAAACTCCTGTACACTGTACCAGAAAGACAGCGTGTAGTCTCCACAAAGGTCTCACTCTCTCGGACCAGGAAGGAGCCATCAGGAGCTCCGGTCTCCAGGCAGTACTCGGACAGTAACCTCTCAGCTATCTGCCGCCCGTCCCGCCCTGCACCCAGCTTCCCGTGGAACCATTTCTCTGTCACGTGCTGGTCCATACCGTTGGACACCTGGAGGGTGAGAAGAGAGGGAGAGGTTATCAATGGTTATTCACAAGCGTGGGCTTAAGTTAACTAAGCCGCATTAGTTTAAACTGTTCCCTCATCTCTTCCAGAAATACAGTTTTTCTGATGCTTTATATATTTGATGCAGTTCCTTTTGCTTGACAGACAGGTTAATGTTCAAAATCAGGACAAGTGATTGTTACCCCTGTGTATATCAGCAGCATGCCGGCCCTACTAACCTCTCTGTGCTCTTCTTCATCATCATTACCCTGGTTACTCGAGGTCTCCTCTGAGTAGTAGATTTTACTGCTGGTCAGGACAAAGAAATGAGGGTACCACTCCTGGGGGGGGGATGAGAGGAAAAGAGAGGATGAAGGGAGACAGTTGGTTGAAATGGCTACATTAAATATTCAGAAGACCCATGTGCTGCATTGAAAAGTAGACAAGAAGATTTTAATCTTCTGTGATACGTCTCAAAGGGGCTCGTACAAAATAAGAAATAATCCGTAAACAAGCGTTTTTACATTTTAGTGGAAAAGAATTGCAAGCTGTTTGATGACAGTTACAAACACACTTGACAAACCTTTATACACAATAAACCTACTGACATGATTAATGGGGTCTTCCAGGTACAGGATGCCATTTTTGATGGAGTTGCTGATGTCGTTCTCTGAGTAGGGAGTGGAAGTGGACACCTCCTCGTAGGCACTGCCTTCTGCAAGCTTCTTGTGCTGTTGCAGACAATTAGAAACATTTATCAACCAGAACAGTGCAAACAAAAGCGTCTGTTCACACTTCTTATGCGGATGAAATAGGAAAAGGGTTGTTCCTGACCTTGATGAGGATCTTCCTCTTGAGCTGGTTGGGTGACGGCAGACCATCTGCAGCGATATCCACTGCTTTGGTCAGCAGCATGTCTACAAACACCTTCTTAAATTGAGTCGCCATATTCCTCTGCTGCACAATACTGCAGTGGTCCTCGATGGACAGGATGATAGGATAGCTGCAGGAGGAACACGCGGTAAGTTCTGAGAGTCGCAACTTCACAAAAATGTGCTTTTAATTTCTGCTATGAGATTGTCTTATCTCATTTTCTTTCATACTACAATCAAAAATGATGCAACTGTAATATGTCCACATTGTTTCAGTATCTTTGCCATCTATCTTTCTGTTATCATCTCATCTACACAGGTGGCTGCAGAAAGAATGTGGGTTGTGCTCATGGAGACTCACTCGGACGTTACGAAGGCGTGCTCTTTGATGGTGGTCAAGACATCACAAAACTTGATTTTCGTTGTGAGGGTGTGTCCGTGGTAGATTACTGGCATTCCATCTGGACCATCCCAGCAGTCCACTGGAAAAAAAATTAATAAAAATCATGCAGGTAAGGTAATTCCAACGACAAACTATTCCTAAAAGCACATGCATAATACATTATCAAAAGGAGCTTTGAGACTGGTAAACCTGAAGACACAAGTTCACCTCATGTTTGTTTACTTTTGTTTGAGGTAAAGTGACCCTTCAACCCACTATAAACCAGTCCTATTCATAGAAACCTGCTTGACAAGGGTCTGGTGTAAAGGCCATGTTCAGCATTGTTATGTAACAGCAAGTGTGTGTTTGACTGTATGGGTAAGGGTGTGGTGACTGCATTAAAAGTAGAACTGTAAGAGGCGGGGGGGGTTAGACAGTTAATTATGGGTTTAAAGTCAAGTGGTGCATGGTGTTTAACTTCAGGTCTTAACTGGAGTGAGTGTGTGTGTTTACCTACATTCAATACAGCGGCAGCCCATCCTCAGACAGCGCGCGTATGCCTCCAGGGAGGACTCACTGGAAAACTGGTCTCCCGTCAGGTAGCTAAAAATAAGTATGTACCGTCAAAAGAGTGCACACAAAAGCACACTCGCAACAAACCTGTCTTTCAAAGAAGTCACACGTCAGGAACTACGTCATAAACATACACACACACACACACACACTCCCTTTCTATGGTGGAAACACAAACACATTGATACTGTGTTATCAAAAGGCTTCTCTGGCTTTTGTTGACCGTCGTAAACGCTTTCAGTTTGTCGATTCAAATGTTATCAACGCTACATGGGAAGTTTTCGTTCCGCTGCGCCACAGGGTATTGTTTCACATCTACTGCAGAGGTTATCATTTCAACTGCCTTTCACACACTTTTCAATTGGAGGAAAAAAACATTTTCCAACAAAATAAATGCCTGGATCTCATTCTGGAACATAATTGTTAAATTATACACTTTTATCTGATGTATGGGGCCAGTTCAAACGCCCTCTTTGGCTAGAGGCTTCAAGAGAGGATGTCAGACTAACATGTTCCCAAGGCCTAATTACAGCAGATTTTTTTTTTTGACAGTATGAAATGCATGAATGAGGGCTACAGAGGGTCCGTTCTTACGTATTGTGCGAAGAAGAGATCCAGTAGTGAGACAGGGGGTTGTTCATGTTATCGGGACACACCTGGTCCAAGGAAGAGTCCCAGATGGTGTTCTCTTTGGAGAACAGGTATGTCAGAAGCTAAAATGGAAAGAGGAAAGCGGTGAGAATGAGGATTCATTTAAATGTTTACTTCCAGGCTTCAATTGGTGTGTTTCTGGGAAGTCTTTCAAAGAGTAGACCGGTCTTAATCGCCATTCAGGCAAAAGTCTCAAGCAAACTTCACAAATTCACTCTGAAGACTTCAGCTACTCAGAACTCGCATACAGATGAGATGGTGTAAAAAGTAATATAAATAGTTGCTGAATAGAGCTTTGATTGGTGGTGAAATACAGATGTACCCTTTGACTGGATCAGAGCCTGAACCACATCCTTTCATAAATATTTGTATTTGTGTAAAATCTAAAAGGAATACAGCTTTGTGGTTTAACTACCGTTTTGTCAAAATAATACAGGAACAATAAACCTACATCATTACATTTGAAGCATTACTCCACCTGAACTATAAGCACATATTTCATGTAAATGTAATTGAATTGGCACATAATGTAATCTGCTTAGTGTATATCATTTAGCAGGTGACGAATGCTTGTTAACAGGTGGACACAGTAAACGTTAGAGGGAACTTTTAACAGCATCAGTCAGTCAGAAGACACTCATGAATAAGATATTTATCCAGACTGTGAATGAGCTGAATTCTATGGATTTCTTTGTTAAATTCAGCAGAGATAGACTGGGAAACGTTTGGCTTCCATGCAATTACTAAATCTAAAAATAAGACCAACTATTATGAGAGACGTGGCTTTGATGTTTACAAAAGCTTC